AAAATATTATACAGAGTCCTAAAAACAGAATGGAAGATCGCAAGAATCAAGTCAAAGATTTGGAACATAAAGAGCCAGAAGACACTCCTCCACAGAAGCAAGAAGGCAAGAGGATCCAGAAAATTGAAGATAATGTAAGAAACCTCTGGGACAACTTCAAGCGAACCAACATCAGAATTATGGGGGTCCCAGAAGATGAGAGAGAGCAAGATATCAAAAACATACTGAAAGAAATAGTGACAGAATACTTCCCCCACCTGGTGAAAGAATTAGACTTACAAGTCCAGGAAGCGCACAGAACTCCAAACAAAAGGAATCCAAAGAGGACCATACCTAGACAAATCTTAATTGAAATTCCAAGAGCAAAAGACAAAGAGAGAATATTAAAAGCAGCAAAAGCAAAGAAGGTAGTTACCTATAAAGGAGCACCTATACGATTGTCAGCTGATTTCTCAACAGAAACCATGCAGGCCAGACGGGAATGGCAAGAAATATTCAAGGTGATGAATAGTAAGAACCTACAGCCAAAAATAATCTACCCAGCAAAGCTATCACTAAAAATTGAAGGCCAGATAAAAAGCTTCACTAATAAAAAATAAAAAAAAAGCTAAAGGAGTTCATCACCACCAAACCAGAATTATATGAATTGCTAAAGGAGGTTCTTTCGGAAGAGAAAGTAAATAAAGATAAAAATTATGAACAACAAATATGTAACTATCAACAAGTGAATCTAAAAACCAAGGAAATTTAAAAAAAAAAATCTGATGAACAATATTAACTGGTGAATATAATAGAATCAGAGGTATGGAAGGGGAGTGAACTGACAATTCTTGGGGAAAAGGGGAGAGGGGGATGTGGGAAGAGACTGAACATAAACTGTGCACCTATGGATGAGGACAATGGGGGTGAGAAAAGGACAGAGGGTGGGGTGGGAACCTGGTGGAGGAGAGCAATGGAGGGGGTGGGGGGAAAGGAACATGTGTAATAATATGAACAATAAAAATTTATTTAAAAAAATAAAAAATAAAAAAATTAATGTAAGAAATATCCTCTGGTGAGGATTAACCAAAAAGAAAAAAATATTAAAAATGGAACAAAGATCTAAATATAAAACTTGAAACAATAAATTACATAGAAGAAAACATAGGTACTATACTTATGGACCTTGGTCTTAAAGAGGATTTTATGAATTGGACCCCAAAGACAAGGGAAGTAAATGCACAAATAAATTAATAAGACTATTCAAACTAAATATCACCCTGCTGCTGCAGCCACTGCCAGCCACCGCAACCACCAAGGTGTTTTCATCAACTTGAACTCCAGTCCCTTCACCATGAAAAAATGACAACTTTCTTTAGGCATTTTCAAGATGTGTCCTCATTTCTTTTTTATCCTCACCTGAGGATATGTTTCCATTGATTTTTCCCCTTCCCTCTGATCACAGGCTCAGCCCCTGCCAAAGCCTAAAACCTCCGCCTGAGGCTTTAGGCTTGAGCAGGGGGACTGCCTCCCTTCCCCCTGACCCTCCAATTGCCAGCTCAGCCTGAGGATTTAGGCTTGAGCTCCCCCCCCCACACACACACACACACCTCCTGTCACTGGCTCAGAGTGACCTGAGTGCCAAGGATGTTCCTGGGACCCAGGTAATATGCAAATTAACTGTCATCTTTGTTGGGTTAATTTGTATACTCACTCTGATTGGTGTGGGTGTAGTGGAGGTACGGTCATTTTACATGTTTGTCTATTATTAGGTAAGATGACACATACAACTTAACAAGTCAAGGAGTTGGATTTACCCCAGGAAGGTGGTAGTGCAGGGAGAGTATGAGACAGCTTGTGCTGAGGACTCTATTCTTGCTCTGGGCCTTTCAGGGAATGTCAGGGTTTGGGTGGGTGGGTGGGATGGGGCAGTTAAGCCTCTGACACCTGAAGCAATTTCACAGACCCTTGTGATAAAGAAAAGCAAAAATGATTTTATTAATTTGCTCTTGTCTTAAATTGGGTTTCCCAGAGTAGATCCTTAAATGAGGATTCATGTTCAAGTAATCAAGGAAATGATCCAAGGAAAAACTAGTAAGGAAGTTGGAAAACAAGGTAGTAAAGGAGTAAAAACTAAGTAAGCATATATTTTCTAGGTGAGGGCCCAGTCTCAATCTAAACTCACCAGAGCTCTGGAACATTCTTTGCACTACAGAGTTTGTGTCCCATGGAAGCAAGAAAGCAGCTTTCACACTTATGCCAGGGAGTACTTTAGCTCTTTAAATATTGAGGTAAAGTGGCTCTATACTCACAAGTTACTGGTGGGGTTTGCACATACGTATAAGTGTTAGGAGCAAAGCAGAAGCTGAGGGATGAGAGCCCAGAGCCAGCAAAGTTATCCAAAGGAATTGGGTAGAACATACATATCATCTGCTGCAGGTCCCCTAAAGTTTGAAATGCTGCTATTTTATTGACTTCCTTGCTGAAAAATATTCTGCTCTCTCTCTCTCTCTTTGATCCTCTGGTAGTCAATTCTTTAGTAGCTTTTTTCCCCTTCTTTATTCAACACTAATCACATATTTTATGCTCAATTAATTAGCTTCATCAGCTACTTTTCTCAAGAAAGTGTCCGGCCGAAACCGGTTTGGCTCAATGGATAGAGCGTCGGCTTGGGGACTGAAGGGTCCCGGGTTCGATTCCGGTCAAGGGCATGTACCTTGGTTGGGAGCATGTCCCCAGTAGGGGGTGTGCAAGAGGCAGCTGATCGATGACTCTCTCTCATCGATGTTTCTAACTCCCTATCTCTCTCCCTTCCTCTCTGTACAAAATCAATAAAATATATTTTTTTAAAAAGTGTTCAATAATTAAGGAAGATATAATCATTATGCTTTTCATGTTAGGTCATGGAACTGTTTGTTAGTCAATAACATGTTATTAATGAACAATTGATTGTGTTCTATGTTATGAGCCCTTTGTTAAATGGACTGATCACACGTTTTGCTGACTTTTTGAAAGGTTCTAAGACTTGCCATCTCTTAGTCTCTTATTAAATTTTCATCCTAGATTTATTGAATCTAGTTAGAAAATAATTCAAAATGGAATATTCCCAAGAGTCACAGCCACATTAGCTTGTGGTTAGCAAATCTGATCCATGAAGGGATTCTGTTACCCTTGAGAAAATCTTACACTATCTATCAGTATTAATGGAGGTCATTGTTCTAGTGAAACCATCCCTGAGGTGGAGATGTGATCTTTCAGGAGAAGCTGTCATCCTGTTCAATTTTAACACACTCTGCATGAAGCTGTAAATGCATGGTTACTTCTCTCCAAAAGTTCAGTGCCAAAATAGTACTGGAGTGGCTCTTAAAATAAAATTCTGGAATTACTGTGTTTTTCAAGGACAGGTTTTTGCCTATTTTGCTTCCTTCCTTTCTATTTTTCTTTTCCCTCACTTTGAACCCAACATTTATTTATTGAGTGCCTATTATGAGCCAGGCACTGTGTAGGAGTACAGTAGGGAACAAAATATACAACGATCTCCTCTAATTGACACTGAAATTAAACATTTGCACAAGGTGATCACAAACTATGGGAATGTTCTACATAGGAAAGTGAAGTGAGGGGTAGAGTGACTGTAATGAGGCAGGTGGAAGGTATCTTTGTAGAGGTCATTTGAGAAGGGGTCAGATCTGTAGTGATCTGGATGTAGAATTTTCCAGGTGGAAGGAATAATGAGTGAAGCACCTAAGCCAGTAACAAGCCTGACGTGATACAGAGAAGGCAACTAGTGTGGCCCAAAAAAAAGATGAGGGAAGGTAGTTATGTTGTTTAATCTCCACAAATTTTGGGAATTTTCTAGTCATGTTTATGTTATCTATTTCTAATTTAATTCCATTGTGATCTAAAAGCAGACATTGTATAATTTATGTGTTAAGTTTTTTTATGGTCCAGAATCTTGATGAATATTTCATCTTCATTGAGAAGAATGTATATTCTGATGTTCTTAGATATAGGCTGTCAAAGTAAATTATATTTAATTGATTAGTGGTATTGTTGAGTTCACCTATATCCTTATAGGCTTTTTCCACCTGCTGGACCTATCTATTTTTACTAGAGGGGTATTGAAGTCTCCAACTATGGTAATGAATTTATCCTTTTCTCCTTGAAATCTGCCAGTTTTTGCCTCACATAGTTTGGTGTTCTATTGTTAGGCTCATACCCATTTGTGGATTATTATGTTTGTATCATTGTTAATGCCTTTCATTATCCCTGATAACATCTTGCTTGGAAGCCTGCTTTCTTTGTAATTAATATAACTGCCCCTGTTTCTTTGGTGTGTATGTGTGTGTGTTTGTGTGTGTGTATGTGTGTGTGTGTGTGTGTGTGTGTGTGTGTGTGTTTACTAATTGTATTTTTAATATTGTGGATGTTATTATTAGTACAAGTACTAAGCCAAGTTTGAGAGATCATTTGGACCTTATTATGTTCTCATTTACATGGTGCTTTAATTTAAAGGTGAGTGTTGACCTCAAGAGAACCTGAGAGTTTTTCTTCTCCAGTTCAAACATTTAACAATTACATGTAAATAGCAGTATTCAATTCAACATTATCCTTCAAATGGGTCTCCTCCATAGAGTGGTCCTTTTCAGAAAGATTGTATCTATTTTGAATTTTTCCTAAGGTACCTCATTATGCATATGAGTTTGGTTGATTTAAATTATATTTATTAGCTTCATCTTTTCTATCCTGATTATTGCCATTCTTCCTTTTCTTCATAAGGACTGTGGCTATTGGAGGCAGAAGGCATAGGCCTTAAGATCTTAAAATGCAAAGAAACCATTCTTGCGTTCTTCAGTCTTGAGATAATTTTCAGCATGTGTTTTCATTCCACTTGATTGAGTATACTACATTTATAATGGGTATTTCAATGACACTTCTGTACATTAGGAACACACATACAGAATCTCCTACAAAATCATCCTGATCTGTGCCTGCTTTCTCTTCTCTTCTTGTGTCTCTAGGTAAGTGTGAAATCGGCTGGGCCTACTACTGCACAGGAGCAGGTGCTGCTGCTGCCATCCTTCTGTGCACATGGCTGGCTTGCTTCTCTGGCAAGAAACAGAAGCAGTACCCATACTGAGATGGAGCCACCAAGAAAAAAGAGGAGAAGATGGGCTGAAGGGGCTTGGAGGAACTAAAAAAATCCGGCTACTTTCAAAAGGTGGAATAATGCTTCTAATTAATACAATGCTAATGAAATAAAATCCAGTGGAATCAGAAACATTATATATTGTGGAAGGGTTGTACAAGATTTATAAAAAAAAAGAAAAAAGAGCACTTAGAAGGATAGGGGAAAAAATGGACCAAAGGCCAGAAATATTGAGAAGGTATTAGTTGTTTCTATTCCATAGAATATTATTAATGTAGAACATATATGCAGGCAAAACAAACCTATATATGCACACAAGGGTTTTAGATGTTTTTGAAGATAAGGACTCAGATCATTAAAGGGCTAGTAGAAACAGTATTATGTTGAGAAGTCAGGTAATCTGCAGATGTGCCTGTAGGTTATGGCGCCTCTGAAAGCACACAAGCACATAGAGACATACACATTCACACATATGCTCATGCACAAACATATAAAATTGTCACAAAGACTGCACAGAGGTTTTGGTATGCATTACTCCTCTGTTTTTAATACACATTTAAAATGCTGTATTGCCACTTTATAAAGCATACATTAAACCTAATAAATGAACCAATAAGCCACCCTATCAGTATTTTGTATATTCTGCATAAACTTTTTATGCTCTCAATATGTTGTCACTGTTTATGCAGACCTTTACAGTTAATCCTTTGTGTTTCAATATTATACAAAACATGCTACATTTCTCTGAGTAGCTTCTGCTATGATATACTTATGAAGTAAAGGGGAATATTTCAAACCTTTTTTCAGGCATTAGATCTTGTTTCTTTTGTCTGTTATTATACTGTGCTGTACCACATTTATTTCAATATTCACTTTGTAAAACAAATGCTATTTTGTTTGTATTTGAAAAACCCTGTGAATAAACTCTCTCTTTAATCAATAACTAAATGAGTTGTAGAGTCTTAAGTTTCCTGATTTGCTTTTTTAATCTCATGAATATAGCCTTTTGACCTCAATGGTCCTGTAAATTTTTCTTTTTCTTGTAAGGCCCGAGATTAATTCATGGGATATTAAAGGTGAGTATGAGATAGTTCCTGCTTTCAACTTCAATGCTTTGCAACCAGAATTCTAACTTCCCGTTCATTGCACTTTAATCACGACTAAATTTTTATGAGAGAAGTTTCTTGTTTATTTAAGATTACGTTTGAGAGGGCAGTGAGAGCCAGCTCGTGGTTCAGGAGGTGTCGGGGCTGACAGTCTCCTGTGACCTGCTGCTCCTTTGCTTTCTGCATGTGCTATATCTCAATACTTCTGTGCCCGGAAAGTTTCACACCTCTCTTGCAGGAATCTTGGCCACTTGGGAAAGATTATCTCACACTCCTGATCCCAGTATAAAACCTTGGCTAAAGAAAAAAATTGACCCTTTCATGACTCCCTAACGGAACCAAGTCCTTCAGGAGCCAAGATTTGCATACTGGATGATGGATAGATTGTTTTACTAGGCAATGCTGAGATATTGCATCAGATCCTTAAAAAACTTCAGTTATAGGTAGCTTCTAAATTATATACTTTCTACATTTGGCTATTTATACATATAACTATATTTTCTGTTCTCTCTATATAATTATCACCTTAACTTGAATAACTGAATATCACACTTGTTTCTGGTATTTTTAATCATCCAGGGTGAGAATTCATGTTGGCCTGAAAGAACAATGCAAGAATCTGGCCAATAAAATTCTGGGCTTTTTAAGGCTTTGTTGCTATGGTAAAAGTCACTCTATTCTCAGATGCTTAATTCATAATGTGCTAAGTGTAATTTGATTGTATCTTGTCCACTGAGCAGGGGATTCACCACTCTGGGTTTCCTGCGGAGAGGGTAAGATGGCACTTTGCTTCCTCAATTAGACCATCATTTTCCTGTACTGCTGGTGCTTTGCAATTTTTTTTTCATGGCACTTTTCCTGTCTCAATAGTATTATGACTTCTTAGCTCCCACTGTCAAGTTGAAGTCCTCTATGGAATTCATTAAGGTCTAATTTCTGGAATGGGATTTAATGACAACCTAATCATTTTTATACAGTTTTAATGATTTTTTAAAAATTTATCTTTATTGTTGAAAGTGTTTCAAATGTTCCTCCTTCCCCCCATTGATTCCTTCCCCCGACTTTCACCCCCTGCCCAGGCCTCCACACATTATTGTCTGTGTCCATGGGTTATGCATATATGTATATAAATTGTTTGATTAATCTCTTCCACCCCTCCCTACTTCCTCTCTGAGATTCGTCAGTCTGTTCCATGCTTCTATGTCTCTGCATTTATTTTGTTTGTCAGTTTATTTTGTTCATTATATTCCACATATAAGTGAGATCATGTGATATTTATCTTTCTCTGACTGGCTTATTTCACTTAACATAACTAACTGGAGAGTAGTTTTTATAATTTTAGAATTTAGTGAACTTCACTAGGTTAAAAAGTTGATTGCTTTGACATGATTACATGTTTATAAAAAGATAAACCTTTATATCTTAAACTCTGACTCATATATTGTGGTGGCTTTTTAGACCAAGCAAAGAATATTTATTCAGAGATTTTATAGCAAGAGTGTCATCTGTCATCACTTGTTTGGAAGAGACACAAATACAGGCAGAGACTGGTAAATATCAATATTTATAGTGAGGGAAAAGAGAATGCTTCAGATATGCCCTGATTGGAAGTTTGTTGAATTGAGGAAGCTATAGGCAGGCTAACTGGTGTGTCCTAGGTGATTGACTAGAAAAGGATATTTGGCTTTCTCTTGTTATTCCTAAATTAAAAATGTAGACAAAAACTAAAAAAAATGACAAATATTAACCAAATCTTGATTGATTTGGGCCAATTACTCTAAGATTATTGTTTACTTTCCTGGGTTGGTTACTACAGACAGTAGGTTGGTTACCTAAACAGGTTGTGGCTTAGTTTTATGTTTATACTAGAGGCCTGGTGCAGGAAATTCATGCACTCGGAGGGGGCAGATGGTCTCTCAGCCCAAACTGCACCCTCTCTCACTCTGGGAGCCCTCAGGGGATATCTGACTGATGACTTAGGCCTGTTCCCTATGGAGATGTCAGTCAGACATCTTTAGCACTGCCACAGAAGCAGGAGAGGCTCCCACCAACACTGCTGTGCTCACCAGCCATGAGCCCGGCTTCTGACTGAGCAACGCTCCCCCTGTCCAACAGGAGCACACTGACCACCAGAGGACAGCTTCTGCATTAAGCATCTGCCCCCTTGTGATCAGTGCATGTCATAGCAACCAGTCATTCTGTGTTCAGTCAATTTGCATATTATCCTTTCATTATCCTATCTATTAAAAGAGTAATATGCAGATTGACTCACTCCAACACACAAGATGGCTATCCCCGTGTGGTCCAAGATCCTGCCCCCATGCGGATACAAGATGGCCACCACAAAAGGGCCAGCAGGGGAGGGCAGTTGGGGGTGACCAGGCTAGCAGAGGAGGGAAGTTGGGGGTGATCAAGCCTGAAGGAGAGGGCAGTTGGGGGAGACCCAGACCTACAGGGGAGAGCAGCTAGGGGTGACCAGGCCTGCAGGGGAGGGCAGTTAAGGGCAAACAGGCTGGCAGGGGAGCAGTTAAGCATTAATCAGGCTTGCAGGGGAGTGGTTAGGGGGTGATCAGGCTGGCAGGCAAAGCAGTTAGGGGTAATCAGGAAGGCAGGCAGGTGAGCAGTTGGGAGCTAGCAATCCTGGATTGTGAGATTGATGTCCTACTGCCCATTTAGGCCCGATTCTACTGGGTCATGCTTGGGAGTTGGGGGATCCCTCAGCCTGGCTTGCACTCTCTCCAATCCAGGACCCCTCGGGACTGCTGGCTCTTAACCACTCAGCTGCCTGCTGGCCTGATCCCCCTAACTGCTCTCCCCTGTCTGCCTGATTGCCTCTAACTGCCTCTGTGACCGTGGCTTTGTCAGGAAGGACATCGGGAAGGTCGTCCGGAAGATGTTCGGTCTAATTAGCATATTACCCTTTTATTAGTATAGAAGAGATTTTAAATGCAACAAAAAGTGCAACAGGTGAACCTTCTTTGGACTCTGATTTAAACAAACCAACTACAAAGAAAAACATTTCATATCAATTGGGAAATTTTTAATATGGACTGGTTATTAACTATGTTTAAAATTATTGTTAAATTTCAGATTTTATGATGAAATGGTGGTTATGTTTGAGGAGAAAACTCATTAATTAGCTGTTAAATTTACTGTAAAATATTCATGCAAAAGAAAGAGAATAATAAAGAAACTATTATGAGGAATGGATAAGTGAAACAATATAAAAAGCATGACTATAAGTGCTGAATCTGAGTGATGAGTTTATGTGATTTATTATACTATTTTATTTGAAAATTTTCATAGTAACAATCCTATAAGAAAATGGAATATTCTTATCAAATTATATTTTAAAAATCCAGCCCTATACTGCTTTATAAGGATCAAATCTATAAGAAATATCACCTCATACCTGTCAGAATGGCTATCATCATTTTCAACAACCAACAAATATTGGTAAAGATGTGGAGAAAAGGGAGTCCTCATGCACTGTTGGTGGGAATGCAGATTGGTGCAGTCACTTTAAAAAACAGTATGGAGTTTCCTTTAAAAATTAAAAATGGAAGTGCCTTATCACCCAGCGATTACACCTCTGGGAATAAATACAAAGAAACCCAAAACACTGATTCAGAAGAATTCTGTATATGCACCTCTGTGTTCATTGCAGCATTACAATAGCCAAGATTTGGAAGCAGCCCAAGTGTGCATCAGTAGGTGAGGGGATAAAAAAGCTCTGGCATATTTACAAATACACCACAGCCTTAAAAAATAAGGAAATTTCCCTTTTGTGACAACATATATACACCCAGAAAGGATTATGCTAAGTTAGATAAGACACTCTGAGAAAGATACATACCATATGATTTCACTTATATGAAGAATCTAATGAGCAAAATAAATCAGAGAATATAAACACACTCATAGATATAAGTTCCAAACCTGATCTAATAGCTGCCTATAAAATCTTGAACTAATAAATAGAGAACATATATCTTTTTCAAATACCCATGGAAAAGTTATGGAAACTGACCATACTTTAGTTCCAAAGCAGTGATAACCTGTACACCAATTTTTAGAAGAATGCAATTAAATTCA